TGAGACCTGGGCTGAGCGGGGAAAGAGGCCTGTCAGACTGCTGGCCTGAAGCGTGGTCCAGTCCAGCTCACAGCCCGGAAGGACTCTGCTCCTCTCCCAGTGCCGCAGGCGCAGCTGGGGAGAAGAGGCACCCCTCCCGCCCACACAGGCCCCGCTGTCTACCCACTTCTGAGCTCCCGGCCTCAAGGGGAGCCGCCAGTCAGCTTGGTCACATATCCATAGGGCCGAGTTCCCCAAGGAGGAGGGGTGGCTGCACTGAAAGTTAACAGTGGTGTGCCCATTTCTCCACTGGGGCTTGGGTGGGCAAGGCAGGCTGAAGTTGGTGTGCCCCAGACCCGCAGAGAGTGTGACTAGGAAGTCACACTTAGGTCTGGCCTGGCTGCAGGCTCCAGCTCAGCTTTACCAGAAAGGGCCTGCATCAGGGATGTCGAGAACTGGGTCAGCCATCAATAAGTGGTTCCTAGTTTCCTGGGCGGTGGGTTCCTTGTATGCCTGATCCCTCTGTCAAAATCGCCAGAGAGGAGGAAGGAAGCGAAGAAGGGACTTAGGCAGCCAAACCTGATCACCCGCGACACTTATCAGTTTCAGTATCGGGGTTTGGTGGCCCAAGACCTATATGCCTTGTGTTCCCATTGCCAACATCCCTTCTCTGGAGGCCTCCAGGCTCCAGGTCCCACATGCCTTCTACACCCTGTGCTGCTTCTGTAGAGCACCTCGCAGGCTCAGCTCAGCTCAGCCATGGCGGCTGCACTTCCCTTCACGTGGAATGTTCTGGCTACAGCTCTACTGAGTGTAAATATGGTCTTTACAGAGATGAGGTCGGGGCGCTCACTCCACTGGGAGCCTTGGTGCTGCAGAGTTAGTGTTGGCCGGGTGCGCCGGGCAGAGCTGCCCTTTCAGAAGGGGAGCCAAGTGAAATAGGGCCTGGGCACTTCGCACTGTTCCAAAGGGAGGGCTCTGCCCTCTGCACACTGCAAATGCAGTTTCATTGACAAAAAAGATTTCCATTCTCCATTTCAACATATATCTTTGTGGCCTCTCCACTGAAGTTCTGACTTTCAAAATATGCCTTTGTGGAAAACATCTATCAGTAAACAATCTTACATTTAGTCTTGGAAACTCAAAAGCAAATACAGTAACTTGTTTGTGACAGGGTAGACAGTGGGGAGTGGACAACTTCGAAACTATCAGCTTTCATCCATCAAAGGAAAGAAAAAGAGAGAAGCCTCCCTGGTGGGGCCCTGTTCGGCCAGGTGGTTGCTCCTGTGTGGGTGGGACCCCCAGAACAGGCAGGGTCTTTCCCCCCGTTTACAGAAGAAGAAACTGAGGCTCAATGAGGACCTGCTCAAAGTCACACTGTGAGGAGGTGAGGCCACCAACATTTGAGCTGAGGGCTCCAGACTCTCAGTTTGGGGTCCTGTCCCCAGCCCCATACTTCTTCCATAGATTCCTCGATCAAAGTCAGACATGTCGCCTGCCCTCCACAATGACACTATACACATAACAGTTACAGACTTCTCATCAGAGTAGGACGTTTTGACTCAACCACTTTAACAGAGCCACATAATAAACTCACTGCTGCCATTTCCTGCTACTTGATCATTTTACTGCTGCCAACTTTTCAATGCTAAGTTTCTCCTGATTAATTTTCATCCATCATTTAAGTTTCTGACCTTTCCCACGGGTGCCTTAACGTAAGAAAAGGGAAAGTGTGTGAATGCAGGAGGTTTGCTAGAGCTCTGCAAGGGTTTCTGAGGGAGCACGGTTGGGGAAGGTGGTTCCTGATGGAAGCTAACGGGCATCATGCAAAGCACCTTGCCCAGTGCGGGCGCAGGAGACATAGCGAGATTTGTTTTGTAACAGCAGAAAATACTAACCACTTGTATACCATTTCATACCCACTCCATGATTCTAGAAAGCATGGCGTATCTAAAAGCCTTAAAAGGAAAGAACTGCCAGATTTGCCTTTAAAAAAAAGGAGACGAAAATTTCTTCTACATCATAAAAGACACTAAAATAGTTGAAAGGGGGGTAAAGGACACAAAAAGGTAAGCATAGAAGAAAAACAAATCAATGAAGACAAAAAAGGTATAACACCTCGACAAGGAAGAAGTGTAAATTTTAATTTTTTTAACCTGGCCCACTGGCAATGATTAAAAATAGTGCTAGGGACACAAAGATGAGTCAGCCTGGGCCCCCGACCCTTGCATTCACTCTGGTTGGGGAAAAAGGGGAGAGCTTCAGAGTGTGTGCTCTGGACCACCCAGACCACCTGGGTTCGGATACCAGGTCTGCCCCTTACCAGCCATGGGACCTCAGGGGTGTCACCCACCAGTCTCCAGTTTGCTCATGTGTAAAATGGGGAGACGACTACCCACCTTGCAGGAGTGTCAGGAGGAGGGGGTGTGTAAGTACACGGATGGGCCCATAGCAAACGCTCAGTACATGCTGGCTAGCGATATTATTACTACTACTCTCTTGGAGCTAGGGGTTCATAACCTGGGGTTTGGGGGTCCATTAGCCTTCTGAAATTATAAGCAAAACTGTGTGAGTCTGTGCATTTTTCTGAATAGAGGTCTAGAGCTTCCCCCCAATTCTTAAAGGGACTGATGACCCCAAACATTTTTAAGCGCTTCCCTTTTAAAAAGAGCCCTTTGCACAAATGTCAAAGGGAAAGCTGAAAGCATTGATGGCACCCACACAAGCACCTCAGGCTGGAAGCCGTGAGGCTGACCTTCCACTCCCCCCTGGCCTCCAATCTCCCCGCATGGCACCTTCCTTCCGTCTGAGAACTCCACAGGAGCCCCGTGGTGGCTCTGCAGTCAGAGGTCTGGCGGCTTGTTTTCAGTGGGTGTTTTTCTGCAGGCTTCTGGGGGATCTTCCATCACCAGCATTCGCATCAAGCGGCCTCTCCTGGGCCTCTGACTCGGTAGAGAGCTGGGAGGCCTCCCACGCCCGCAGCATGCTCTGCTCCAGCTGTCGGGGACAGACTCCCATTCTCTGCCTGAGTCCCTGGGGCTGTGGGCCGAACACAACCAAAACCTTTTTCTCCTTCATGAATGCTCTTTCTGGAGGTCGGGCCTCCCCTTCCCAGGACGGAAGAGGCACGAGGCAAAGAAGGAAGCAGCTGCTTGTGCCACATCTGCTACTGGTGGGTGCTTGGGGTCCTGCCCCATCCCCTGGGGGGAAGCGGGCTGGTGAACTGGTAAATGGGCGAGAAGACTCTCCCTGAAGGACGGAGGCGGAACCCCTGGTTGACTGTCAGCTGTAAGCACCCACGCCGACCTTTTTTCTCAGTGGCGTCTTGGGCAGTGGGGACAGTGGGGTGAGCCAGACAGCTCCTGTCCTCCCATGAAGTTCCAGATGGGAATGCTCAAACACAGCCGCAAGGTCTCAGAAAAAGCCCACCTGAGATGTCTAATGAAGTCCAAAAGGCCCAAACTGTCCCTGTTTAACCATCACGTGTGGGCTAGTTAAGCCCAACCACCAGCCAGGAAGGCGTTCGAGAGGTTTGATCTACACAGAGAAGCTGACTACACCTGCCACCGATGCCTGCCCACACGCAGAAGGGAAAGGACAGGCCGCCACAGGAACTCCCGTGGAGAGGAGGCTGGCGAGGTCAGCACCTCCCCTGCTGCGCATCAGCGCGGCGCCCACCCCGCCCCGGGCTTTGGCTGCACAGCACGCTACCTGCCTGGGCTGGGACTCACTCAATACTTGTCGCGTAAACATACAAATTAATAGAAAGAACAAGACAGAATTTTCTTAGCACTTTTGATCTTAACCATTCACAGTTTGGGGAACATTTTGAAGAGAAGCTGAAGCAAAGTGTGGTGATTTTACTCATTTTAAAATACGTAGTTCAATGGCTAGGTCTTGAAACCTTCTGAAGAACCCAGCTTCTTTGGATCTTGGTGACTCGAGTTTGTACCTTCTCGCTGAAGTGACCACATCCAAACACAGGAAACCACCAGGCGAGGTGGGGGTGGGGGTGGTGCAAGACCTACGGGAGCTCTTCAGACTGCCAGCAACACCCACTCCTTGTGACCGGCAGTCAAAGCGCAGCGAAGTCACAGAGGACCACAGAAGCCCTCTGGTCTCAGTTTCAGACGAGAGCCGGGGACTGGAGTGTGTCCCAGGGGCCATCCTTTAAGTTCATGGACCTGCCTACAGAACCACCCCAACGTGTGAGCTCCGAGCATCGGACCTTCAGTGAGCTTCCTTTGAAACACACATGGCTGGAGCCGAAAAGGAACTTGCCCCCTCCCCACCCGCCCAAAGATGTGTCTGAATCCCAGAAATATCCTGAAATCTCTGGCTCCACAGCCAAACTCTGGGCACTGCTTGGGCCCCTGTGACTCCGTGGAAGTTCATTTACTAAAAACTGCAGCAATTGTCACCAAGCCCTGTCCCTAACAAGGCAATCACGGAGTCCGAATTGAGGTGGCGCCAGCCGACTTCAGCCCACAGTACTGAGGAAGCAGAGGACCCACCTCACTGCCTGAGGCACAGCCGCGGGCCCGCACCGTGCTGAGGAATGCTGCTGCACTCGGCAGGCACACGTCTCTTTTTGCCAATATAACCAACTTAAAAGAAAAAAGTCACTGCAGGAACTCCATACAAATAAATGATCCCAGCGACCCTTACAACCTCGAACGAGGTAAATATGGTCTCCCTTCTACAAGCCAGGGAAACTGCAGGCTTGGAGAGGTAATGAAGCCTGCCCAAGTCACACCGTGAGGGAGTTGGGGGGGGGGGGGAAGTGGCCTTGGAACCCAGGCATCCTGACCCCCAGCCCTGGGCTCTTGTCTTTATATCATTATTTCTCAAACTTGCAAAACCAAAATCAGTTCCCTCACACTGCAGGCCTGTGGCTCCCAGCTGGGGACCAGCCAGGGGTTGTGGGTGCTTGGGGTGCAGCCAGGGTTGAGGGGTGGGGGGAGAAGTGACTCGTGGCCAGGAGGCAGGGAGGTCTGTGACGTGTGCACCTCTGTCCCCAGGCCCGTGGAGAGACTGCCTGCAGGCCCTGGAGGATGGCCACGACACCAGCTCCATCTACCTGGTGAAGCCAGAGAACACCAACCGCCTCATGCAAGTGTGGTGCGACCAGAGACACGACCCTGGGGGTTGGACCGTCATCCAGAGGCGCCTGGATGGCTCCGTCAACTTCTTCCGGAACTGGGAGACATACAAGGTGAGAGCTGCTGGGCAGTCTGCTGCCCACAGGCGACCAGCCCACCCCAAGAGGCCAATACAAGAGCCACTCAGAGGGCAGGTGCGCGCTGACCTGTCAGGGCCTGGGCGGCCCCAAACAGCAAACACCTGAGCGAGAAGGGCACTAACAGGGCCATTTTTGCAAACCCACCAAGGATGGTGAGGACCAGCAGCTCCTTCCCTGCCAGGCACTGCCTGCTGAGGACACAAGTCAGGAGTCCAGACTACAGAAGCCCCACAGACGGGGAGACAATTTAGATATGCTGGTGTGGGGTGGTCCTGCACCCTGGCCCGAGTGTGGGGAGCATCTTACTCCCAGCTGGGGCTTCCTTGGGGGAAGACCTGTTATCACAGCCTAGAAGGGAGAAGTCCCAAGGCCCCCAGGCCCTGGGAGAATCTCCCAAAGGGCCTATTATGAGAACTTCAGGGATATTTGGGTCCTAATTCCAGGGCTCGTGCCCTGGGCTCCAATGCCCAGGGAGCTGAATGCTCATCCTTATAGTAGGAAAGGCTGCTAGGGCTCAGCCGCACACCTCCCTCCCTCTTCTGAACAAAGAGGTGGTAGGAAGGACACGAGAGCAGCTCAGTTCCCCAAGGGCCTGCCACACGCCAGGTGCCACACTGAGGGCTTCCGTTCACGACCTCATTTAATCTCACTTCAACCCTAGGAGGGATACCCAGTGTACAGATGAAAAAGTGAAATATCTCCCCAGGGTTGCACGGCTGGGAAGTGGCAGAGTGGGGACTGGAAGCCAGGCCTCTGACACCTGCAAAGCCTTCAAACTCCCTTGGCCAGGACGCCTTCTGCACGAGGCTCTGCTGTGCGACCCTTCCTGTCCTGGTTGCCCTCCAGCCCACCTCCTGACTAGCCTGGGTCTTTGCTTTCTTCTTTCTCTCCTCGGCCTCCTAATTGAGAGGCTCCTGAAGATTTGCCCCGTAACCCTTCCCTCTTCCTTTCCATGTTCTCTTGCTTAGAGGCAGTAGAGCAAGCGGTGAAGCCCGGGTTCTTGGGTCAGATCCTGGCTCACCTCTCTGGGCCTCAATTCACCCATTCTAGGGAGGATAGTAACAGTACCTAGCTCTCAGGGTTGGCATGAGGGTTAATAAAATAACCTATGTGAAGTCCTGATAACAGTGCCATGACGGTACACCACAACTGCTCGCTAAATACTGGCTGCTCTTATTCTTAACGAATCCATCCATTTTCAAGACTTCAGTGGTCGCTGCTCAGCTGATGACTCCCAAAAACTACATGTGCAAACAATAACAAAATGACTGGACTTCAGACATAGGAGGGAGCCAGACATTTGTCACAGCTCACACCTGTCTGGTGCTTTAGAGTTTCATGGGACCCACACACACAGCCCATCCCCAGAGAAGGAAACTGAAGCCCAGAGAAGGTAAGGGATTTGTCCAAGGAACTCCTGTCGCACACCTACTGCGTGCTGGGCGCTCCATTTACCATATTACATGTGTCCCCACGGCAACCCTGCAGAGAAGGTAACAGCGCCCCCCACATTCACACAACGCCCAGCACGCAGCAGGCACTCTCTAAACAGTCTTGAATGATGCATGATTGAGGCTCAGACAGGCAAACTGACCCATCAAGTCCCCGCCAAGTGGGGGAGGAGGGATTTGAACCCAGGCCTGCCTTGTGCTCTGATGTCTCTGGGCCCCTCTGTCCGGGGCTGAGCATCCAGCAGCCAAGCCCTGCTGGCTGACGGCACTGCATATTCCTCTAATGCTCTTCCGCGTTTTCCCCAGCAAGGGTTTGGGAACATTGACGGCGAGTACTGGCTGGGCCTGGAGAACATTTACTGGCTGACAAACCAAGGCAACTACAAACTGCTGGTGACCATGGAGGACTGGTCTGGCCGCAAGGTCTTCGCGGAATATGCCAGCTTCCGCCTGGAGCCTGAGAGCGAGTATTACAAGCTGCGGCTGGGGCGCTACCATGGCAACGCTGGTGACTCCTTCACCTGGCACAACGGCAAGCAGTTCACCACCCTGGACAGAGACCATGATGTCTACACAGGTAGGACCAGTGGAGTCAAACCCAGGGGCAGGGCACGGAAAAGAGGCCAGCCAAAGCCAGAGCCCCTGACTGCAGGGCCTGAAAACAGGAAGATCCCAGGGTCTAGCTGCCTGACCCTGTTCCCACCCCCTGAAGGTCCACTCCTCTAGCCACTGCCCACAGATCCCCTTCGCAAAGCTGGGTCAGAACGGCACTTACAGAAAGGGAAAGGTAAAGAGGTATACAAATTACACCTTTGAGGGCCACTCTGGGCCAAGCCAGACATTGTGCTGGGCTGCACATATGTATCACCTCTGCCTGGGGCACCAGGTCAAGGCTACATAACTCCATGGGCTCTGGGCCATACACCCTGGGTAACAGTGCCGGCCCCACCTCTACCAGCCATGTGTCCTTGGGCAAGCTGCTTAGTCTCTCTGGGCCTCAGTTTCCACAGCTGGAAACGAAGACAATCTGCCTGGCAGGGTGGTGAGAAGGTCAGAGAGCACAGACCTGGTCGGGGACTTGGCTGGTAGGGCTCCATGTCGCGGGCTCTCCCTGTGGTTACCGTTATTGTCATGCACTGTTAACGCAGCGCTGTAAGTGAGCTCTTAAGAGGAAACGAGATAGGAGAGATTAAGTGATTTGTCCAAATTCACAAGCCTCAAATCCAAGCCTTTACTAAGAAGTCTTTATCAAATAAAAAACAAGGGAGAAAACAGAAAATTATAAGCACAGATACAGTCCAGCCTTGAGCCCAGACAATAACCCCCCACAGCTCATGCCTCCCAAGGCCCCACACCCAGTTTCTTGAGATGATGGCCTCTGGGCCCTAACAAGCTGGCAAAGTCAGAGAGGCCTAGCTCCTCCCTGAGGCCGACCCCACCTCCAGGGCAAGGCTGTCTGGTCTCCTGGGCAGACCTGGCCCCTCCTGCCCCTGCTCCCCATTTAGTCCTGGTCTGAAGGCCACTCCCTCCCCTCCGAGGGGCGTCTCAGGAACAACCGGCACTTCAGGCAAGCCCTGCCACCTACATACGGAGAGGGAGGTCCTCACTCCAGGTGCCCACGGCAGCCACACTCCAGCAGACTGTTCTCACAACACTGGGGACACGCACACACTCTCCCTGTCACAGGCACTAAACGGACCTTGCTGAGGGGTCCCTGAGGAGTCAGTGTTGTCTTAGGTGAGGGCTGCCGAGGCTTCCAGAAGATCAGGGCAGGAAGCTGACCCTCAAAGTTAGTCTGACTCTGGGGACACGGGGGCTGCTACAGCATTTCCTGGGGTCCTCCTGGAGAGCTGGGAGAAGACTGTTCTAGCACCCCAACCATCAGGCCCGTCCAGCAGCATGTTCTGTGGACGGTGAGGAAGTGAGCTCCTTGTCCCTGGAAGGCGTGCAGGGCAAGCTTATGGGGGCCTCCACCCGCAGATGGGAGGCTGGCTGATGTACTCTCCACATCCAACACTGCCACTTGGTCCTTGTGGCCTCGCATCACAGCCCAGAGGAGCTCGAGAAAAACTCTGGGACAGCCTGGGCTGCGGGGACTACAGGGTGCCTGGGGCTGAGTCTCCCCTCAGCCTGCTGCCTCCTCACCTCATCCCAAGGCCTCAGCGGGAGGAGGGCCACCTGCCCCAATTGGGCCTCCCAGCCCACAAACTTGACTCAGGCAGCCCTTCCCCGAGGCCGGGGTCCGCTTCCTAGGCCTGATCAGGAAACTGGGGACCCCCCTTTAACTAAGAGCAGCCAGAGTGAACAGAGGCTCCTCCTCCTTCCTGGGAAGGGTGATGTCCTGCAGGCGGGCTCACACCTTGCCCGCACTTTTACTGCCGTTCCGAACTGTGTGTCCCTGGCAGCGAAACAGCACGATGTGATAGCGCCAAATGTTTTACGAAAATATCTTTCTTGTGTGAAATAATAAGAAAAACATATTTGGCTGGAATACAGGCTGGGGAGGAATAGAGGAGCATTTCATCTTAAACACTTCCTTTGTCATTCGTCAAAGACTCTTGATCTTAAAAAAATTCCTAAGAAAAACCCTTTGGCCCTCTCCCTGCCACCTCAGGTCAGTTCCATTTTCTATTCAAACCTACGAGGTGGAGTCCTCCCCAGGCGCTTCCTCTGCACCACATCCTGGGCCAAGGGCTTGAATATGTGCCCTCATTCAATTCCCACAGCAGTCCTGGGCAGGAGGCAATGCCTTTATCCTGAATTCAGTGGCTCAGCAAGGTTAAGTCACTTGCCCAAGGTCACACAGCTCCTTAGTCAGGCACGTCTGGGCAGGTCTGAAGCCTGGTCCACCTCTCAAGCACTTCTTGTTCCAGAGGCCCCCTAGAGAGGGTCCTGCTGAAGTCCCCGAGCAGATGGAGGACACAGGTAAAACTGCCTCCTCCCTGAGACCTTCTCACTCCCTTCTCTCCTGCAGGAAACTGTGCTCACTACCAGAAGGGAGGCTGGTGGTACAACGCCTGCGCCCACTCCAACCTCAATGGGGTCTGGTACCGTGGGGGCCATTACCGGAGCCGCTACCAGGACGGAGTCTACTGGGCTGAGTTCCGAGGAGGCTCCTACTCGCTCAAGAAAGTGGTGATGATGATCCGGCCCAACCCCAACACCTTCCACTAAGCCAGCTCCCCTCCTGACCTCTCGTGGCCATTGCCAGGAGCCCGCCCCGGCACACCGGCCCCAGCACAAAGAGCAACTCCTCGCCAGTGCACCCTGGGGCCGGGAGGCCCAGGACGTTGCATTCTGTCTTCCCAAGTCACCGCGGCAGATAACGGAACTAAATCGATACAGTATTCTCTGTCCCTACTACTCCCCTTCACGCCAGACAGCCCATCACTTTTCCAGACTGGACAGGACTGCAGATAAGTCTTTCTTTAAATAAATTAAGCCCTTACAATAAAAATACAACTGCAAAATACCTTCATAATATACACGTGTATGAGCCGACCTTGTGCACTTGTGTGTATACCACATATATATGCATTTAGATATATACCATACGTCATATATCTAGATACATATACAGGGTTGCCTTATATACCTAAATACACATATTCTCAATTCTCAGATGTTGAAGCTGTTAACGACAGCTTTGCTCTTAGGAGAAAAGCATTTCATGCATGTTGTGCTCCCTGAGTCTAAGAGCAGATCACAGACTGTGTAGCTCCAATCCAAAGAACCCTTGGCATCCGTGTGCCTGGATTCTTCCAGGGACGTCTACAATGCTATTTGCTCACACAGCGTTTCCTTCCTCACTTAAGAACTCCTTTGCGCACCTAATCAAATGTCAAAATCCCCTTCACTTTCCATTTCTGTACTTCTCCCCATTCTCAGGACTTTTTCACCATCCATCCATCCACTTGCTTGTTCATTCAATTCAACTCAGTCAGTGCCTCCTGTGATCAGTCCTGGGCCCTCGCTGTGGTTCGAGGCAACTTTTCTGCTCTTCTCTGCTCCTTGCCTGCCTACTTCTTACCTTTTCTGTTGCACCGTCCTTTCTTTCCAGGCAAGATTCCTCAGCCTCTGAGTAGAAGACAGTCTGGGCTCTAGGTTTCTGGTCAGGAAAGGGAAGGCCAGGCCCAAAAGCTAACTGCCGGCCACACAGATAACGTATTCTCAGTTTTGTATTTTCCATTCACACTTTAGCCTATGTGTCATTTTAACCTTCACAGAAATAATAACCTACCTTGCCCAGGAGATATTCAGTTGAAAAGAAGTCATCATCCGATCGTTGGGGCCCACAAATGGCTACAGACCAAAGGTCCCATGCTCTCAGGCCGACTAGAGTCCGCATCTCATCCCCAAACTACACTTCCCTGGAGAACAGGAGCCACAAAAACGAGAACTGGCGACTTCTTGTGAGTCACTGAACGACCAGGGGCCACCGGACCCCTTGGTGGGTGAATTGCAGCATGGTGGCTTTCTGAGTCCTGTTGGCCACAAAGTGTCAGACTCAGTACTGCCAGGACTACTGCCAAGCAGGGACAAGAGATGAGTCCAGAAGGTGAGACCCTCCCCAGGGGGGCGTGTAGGCTGGGGTGTGCGAGATGTTGGAACACTTGGTACTGTCCATGTCCGTGTGTGCCTATTACCTCAGCATTCTCACAAAATGTACCATGTAGCATGTTTTGTGTATATAAAAGGGAGGGTTTGTTTTTTTCTTAATATATTCCCAGGTTATCCTTGTAATGACACAAATCTGCAATAAAAGCCATCAGTGCTATTTGGATGTATCCACACTGTCTGTTATTGTTTTAGAATGCCTTCCTGGGACCTCTTGTATCAGAGCCTCTTTAAGTAAAACCAGGAAGAGATTCAGCACCAGGGACACACACACTAAAACCACGTAAATCCCACTCTCCCTATCTTTGGTTTCCACCTATGCCCTCAGGAGTCCCATGGCAGTACCTCAGGCCGCGACAGCTTTCTGGAGCTCTGCCTCCTTACACCCAGCCGTGTGCGGGATGTCTCCACTGGATGTCCTGGAAGCACCTCCTAGGCAGTGAGGTCAACACCCGAAACACCTTCCCCCCAGGTCTGCTCCCATTTCACCAAATGGCACCATCCACTCAATTGTTCAGGTCAAAAACAAGGACTTCTCCCTCCCCCTCGCCAAGGTCAACCCCTCCCTCTCTGCAAGCCCTCTTCTCTGCCTGGGTGGAGGCGCGTCTCCTCTCCTCTCGACTACAACAACAGGCTCCCACCAGACCAGGAGCCCTGTGCCTCCATCTCCTCTCCAACCTGACTTCCACGCGATCCACTAGAGCCACCTTGCTGTAAAATCAATCTGTGAGTTGGGAGGCATCTCCAGGCATGGCAAGAAATCCCAAAACCATAAAGCCAAAGCCTAAAGGATAGGACTAAAGAAAACCCCGAATTTTCTGCCTTCCGAAAAGCAAAACAAAGTAAAATATGACCAACATTGAGAGGCAAGTATCAAACAAGAAAAAAATACAGAGTTAGTATTAATGATACACCAAGAACTCTTTCAAATTAAGAAGAAAGATACAAACACTGTGATAGAAAACTTTGTGAAGTACACGAACACGCTAGAAGGCTCACAAATGTCCAAGAAACAAGAAAAGATGCCAACCTCAGTAGTAAGCAGAGAGTGCATTAAATCAAGCATAAACCATCACACGGCGCCTGTCAGATTGGCAAAGACGAAAAAATGTCAGTCTCCACGCGGAGAAGGGAATGGAGAAATGTGTACTCCGTGCACTAGGCATGAAAGGATAAATGGATTCAATACTTTTGAAGGGCTGTTTAGCAATTTACAGATCAGAATTTAAAATGTACTTATACCCTTGGACGCAGCAATCCCTCTTCTTAATGACCGAGCAATACTGCTACGAGCGCTTTTTCTAGCAAAGCTGTGGTTGGGGAGAGAACGTTGAGTGAAGCCTACTTTGCGCTGGGATTGGACTTACATCTTCTTGTGTAACCCTCACAGCAGCCCTGTGAAGGAGACACTGTTCTCCTTACTCCCTAGAAGAGAAAATGAGGCTCACAGTCAGACTCCTGGCAGAAATGCTCTGGCGGCGGTTAGTCCAGAAGGTGCTGGGTGTCAGGTGCCAAGTAAGAGTTCTCAACTCGCTTCTCCCAAATTCCAGTCAGTTCTTGGGGTCACAACTGTTGGGGTCACAGTGGAATTCGGATATTATTAAGTGAGAATATCTCAACCTCGGCCAGGCCATAGCCACCCCTCCGCACAGACCTGGAGTGGAGTGTGTGGGACGTAAGGATGGACAGCAAAGGAAAACAGGGTCCAACCTTACTGGTCACTGCTCTTGGGTCCAAACCCCAAAGCAGAGAGCTCTGGAAAGCCATGCTGGACAACATGAAGCAGCCCTTTTTCTAAACCTGTTGGGATCTAAACAAAAGCAGGCCGTGACCTGCTTTTCTCCCAACCCCCACCCAAGCCTGAGTCTTAGTCAAACCACATCCTGGGTAAATGGAAGGAGAGGAAGGAATAAGCCCATTAGAGATGTGGAACCAGCTCTCCTTGGAGTAAAATGGGGGCGGGGGGGGGGGGGGGTTGGTCAATTTACCAAACCAACAGCATCAAAGAAGAGAACAGGGGATGGGAGAGCTGTGTTCAAGGGCACTGCGCCTTCGTGCCCGGTGTGTTGCTCCCCCCACCAGCAAACACAGCCAGTCAAGACCCTGGGGTCTGATCAGATTAACACTCCTCCTCCCCCATCCCAGCCAGTGACCTTTTGAGGCCTACAGTCATAGGAGTCCTGCTGTGACTAAGGTCTCCATGGTGCGTGCATCTGCAGAACCAGAGGAAGTCAGTGAAACCCGGTCTTTCTCCTGCCTAAGCCACAACACCACGTCCCAGTTTGGGCCAATACCTTGGTCACTGGAGGGCACCCACCCACCTGCTGGGCTTGTGTGGGGAACATGGCAGGAAGACAGTGATGTTCTCCAAGCAACTGACATTGAACAGGACCCCTTTCCCCAAATCATGCCAATTTGAGCAAGATTGAAAGAGAGACCTCTGAATTACTGACAACAGTAGTCACGGGAGTCTATGATGCTCCCAATCCACAGATGCTTTTTGGGAGCTCAGGGGATGTTTCCTGATCTCCCAGGACCACCTCATCTGTTACCTACAGTCCTGTAAAGACTCTTGATTATAGTAAGAGAAAGCCAGACAACTGGATTAAGCAAAAAAGGGGACATTTTAAGTGTAACAAAATGTTAAACAGGCACTCTTTCTGCCTTGGTTTTATCTGAGACTCCAAAGGCTAAGGCCAAAGTAATAACTGCCAAGTGTCCCACATTCTAAAACAAGGAGCAAGACATCCCTGCAAGGCAGATGGCCCCAAATTGGTCCCACGGCATTAGCTGACTGCCCAGCTGCAGCCTGTGTAAAACTGCAGAAAAAATACCCTGGGGTGGAGGAATGACACGCTCCTCCACCACCGCAGGAAGGGTGGGTGCTCCCCTTCACCCTAAATCAAGTGACAGGAACCACAAGGGACCGTTCCAAGAGTCTGGCGTGGGCCAGCACAAGCTATGCTGTCTGGCTCATGCCTCCAGCCTATGGCCCTGAGGCAGAGAGCAGTGGGAAATGGGACTGTACTGGAAGCAAAAGGCAAGCCCACGACGGGGCCATGGCAAGCAAGGACATGGGTTCCCTAGGAATTAGGGGGCAGCCTGGATGGCGGGGTGGGAGTATTGCAGGAGGCCCAGGAGCCAAGGAAGGAGTTGTAAGTGGTCAGCTGGAGGAGAAGTGTTACTCCATCAGGGCAGCTGAGTCAGAGGGGCCCAGAAGGGAAATTCTGAGGCAGCAGCAGCAGAGAGGGAGAAAAGACAACATGAGGGCGCTTTGGGCATCTGGCACACCCATAGGGCACAAGGTCGGGTTTATGGCCAAATCTTACCCCTTGCTTCTCCCTCTCCCCATTCCAACCCCAAGGGACACAGACCTCAGCAGGCAAGTCGGGGAGGCAGCAGGACTCTGGGATCTGGTGAAGGAGCTGACTTGTGCGCCCTCCCCCACCCAGGCCTCCAAGTCTGGCCGGGCTTTCAGAGTCCAGACTTCTGATTACTACACTGGACTGTCTGCAGTGGCAGGACTGTTAGAAAGGATGGGGCTGCCTAAGAGCAGAAAGACTAAGGGGGCTGCTAAGTTTTCAGCGTTGACTGGGAAAAGAACTAGTCCACAGAGTAGGCTGGAAAGGACACTGGGGAAAAAATAAAGTTGGTTTCCTCTTACACCTGATTGAGTCCAGCTTATTTAATAAGCTGGTTACATAAGGACACGAGGTATCTCCCAGAGTCCATGAGCAGGGACACAGCTGGGCCTCACGAGGGCCAGGAACCAGAAACTGCCTGGAACGCCTTCAAGAGGCAGGGCAGCTGCTTCCTCAGCTTCTCTCCCTTTCTTTTCCTGTTCCCTTGCTTGCAGAGTTTCTTTCTCTGTTTCTCATTGTGCATCCACTTGCTTTTCCCAGCACAGAACTCCTGAGCTCATATGTCCTGGTCTGAGTGCCAGCAAAGACTTCAAGCACCTCTCAGTTCCAATGCCAGCCCCTGGCCAGAGGACCCGACTGGCCCACGTGGGGTGGGTATCCACCTCAATCCTATCCACTCTGGCCTCAGAGCAGAGCTGGGTGGAATGAACACTGCTGCTGGAGTTCAACATTGTACGAGAGGTGGGGGGAGTTCCCAGGTTCCCAAAGAAGGAGGGGCCACGTGCTGGGTCTATATCCAGAAAGGTATATAGACTACACTCTAGCTGTTGTTGGTCCCCGTCCTCTGCAGGGACCATATTTTGCCAGCCAGGTGGATTTTGTCCCATTACTCATTAGATTGTGTCCTATTCCCCAACCCCGCCCCTGATGACCCCTGCCCTACCCGAGAAAGCACACCCAACTCTTCCAGGCCCAGCTGGGTCACTAAACATGACACCTGGCTGTGCCCAGACAGGGGTCTCCTGCCCTTCCTGGACACATCGAGTTTCTCAATAGTCTCTATGGATGCAGGAGGCAACATGGTCCCACTGTGGGGGTCTTCCTGGCAGTATTTTGCTCTAGATAACACTCATACCATCTGCCATCTATGGGGTGCTTCTATAAGCACCCTCCCTTCGACATAACAGAAATTCAGGCTTACAGATGTAAGTGACTTGCCCAAGAACATGCAGCCTGGGACACTCAGGATTTGAGCTTCTGTAGTATTAGATCACTGTCCCCAAGGATGAAACAAAACAACTAAGGCTCTTCTCTCACCCCCTCGTCACTCCCTAGTACATCTGAGGATCATGGCAGCACGGAGCCTCCTGCCCGTAGGCGTGGGGATGTGAGGTAGCCAGCCAGCCTGCCTGTGCGGAAGCAGCTGGCTGGATAGTAGGTCCCCAGATGTCAGGAAGCCAGTCCTGGGCCGTTTGCTCAATTTATCTCAGAGCAGCGGGCCCAGAATATTAGGGGGCTGTGATGGAGAACATTTCACAGCTTCTTGGGGCTCCCAACCCTTTGTCAGGGTGAAAGCTGCTGGGCCCTGCCTTTCTCCTTCCTCTTGTAGAACAAGAGAGCCGCTTGTCCTACGACCTACAGACTCAGCCCCACCTTTTGGCACTCTTAGTGTCCCACTTGCAGCTGGTCTGGCTGTCACCTCATGTACCATTTCTACTTGGTCCAAGTCCTGGTTCACATTGTCTGTAACTGGGTCCCTGTTGTGGTGGCTCGTCTCCCATCTCCCACGCCTTCGGACCTGGGGCCTG